GAGCATCTGAAGCGATAAACTACTCAATGAACATATGGGGAATGGAGAGGGGAAACCTGAAATCCACCAAAGTGTGGAACTGCAAAATAAATATTACTATCGGGGTTAAGGTAATTATCTCATCAGCTAGGAGAAGATCAAAACAACACATACTTTGGAAAGATTTCTTTTTTCTTTCTTTCTTCCCCCCCCCCCGCCTTTTTCATAACCATCCTCATATTCACATTTCAAAAGTGAAGTATCTCAAATGCTTTCAGATCATTCCAGACCAACCTGGCATTTGCTGTCAAGTCTGCCATTTAAAATATCTAGGTAATGCACCAGGAGTAATTGGAAAAAAAAAAAAAAGGTCTACTTCCACTGAATCCCAACGACATCTGCATTGTAGTCATTTCACACAAGTCTGCTTGTCAGGAGGTGATGCATTCTCTGCAGCTCGCTTCACAACAACTTACTTAATAAACCCATTGGGGAGATACCATGTGTCATTTCCAACTTCTAGTGTCTGGGTAAGAGCCCTTGTGTTTGTAATCAAAGATATTAGGGAGCTCTGCTATCAGCCAGTTCCTTCACGTTAGGAGGAGCTGAAGGCAAAAGCTTATGACAGTTTGCGTTACTTTCCATTAGAGACTTTAAGAACCATACATTTGTTAAGGCTGGGAAAGATCACTAAGATCATCCAGTACAACCATCAACCCATCCCCACCGTGCCCACTGTCATAAGGGTACTGACAGATGCACAATCCTTGTTCATTAATCCATCTGACAAAAAATCAACCAAGCACTGCTTTGGCATTTTAGCCATCCCAAACCCAGTGCGGCTTGCAAACTATGAGCAAGGCAGCCCTTGGGTGGCAGCTTGGAAAGGCAGACAGGTTCAGTGGCTAACAGCACCACTGTCTCAGCACAGCAAAGCGATCACAACATTACTGGAGGGTTTTGCTCCTCCCACATACAAAAACCCACTCAGATCAGGGACCAAGCTTTAATGCCTGATCTTTAGCACCTCTGACACAGAGGGAATTGCATTTGCAGGCAGCTGCATGTATGAAATTCCTAGAAAGGAACAGGGCACTGAAGCAGAACTCTGGAAGGTACCAGCAAAAGCAAAAAGCCTCTTCTGCAATCAGCAAGTAAAGCAAGGCACTGGCATTCTGCAAAGCAGGAGGACAAAAACAGATCTCTAGTGCTAAGTTATTTACTGTACAGCCGAAGGAGGTGCTAATGTCTCCCTCACAAATAAATCACGTGTGTTTGTATATGTATATGAGTAAAACAGCGAGATTGCTGAATTACCAGTACATGGATGCACACAGGTGTGCAAGTGAGGCAATGGTGTGCAATATCTTAATAAATCGGATGAACATGAATAGGGAGAGGACTGGCATGGGGTACCATGTCTACCCAATCATACAAGCCAAGACAGCAATACCTGCACACCCATTTTACCAGCCCTGAAACATTCCCGCTACTGATGCACAGCCCAGTACACACCAAACCAACCAGCCCCCCAAACACATAACCCTTGCCAACCTGGTCGCCTTCTTCGCCTTTTCTTGGAGCCAAAGAGTTTGACTCTGGAAAACACATTCAACTTGTTCTTGTCGCAGCTTCCCTTGCTCTTGCTGGGGCTGTTGACACACTTACAGGCATTGGACTTCTCCCGCTCCCTGGCTTGTCTCTTCTGGCGGATCAGGGAGCTGGCGATGGCTGCGGCCATGGCCGCCACGGCCCCGGTGCCACCGGCGGGTCAGGCACACGGGGTCTGCTGGCTGGCCACAGGTGCCAGAGCCAGCATGCTGCTCAGCTGTCCCCAACGTTGGGGCAGCCACCACCCAGCGCCCACCGGCTCAGAGCCCGGGAGGCGCCGGATGGATGTGCGCACCGCAGCCCCGCGTCAGGATGCAACAGTTTAGGTCAAAACGGTTTTGTTGGCTGGGATTTTCCCCTTTTGATTTTCTGATGTTTCTTTTTTTTCTTTTTTTATTTCTCCTAACTTCTGGCAGAGGAAAGTTTGCAGGCAGAAGTGAGTGTTTCTACGGAGATCAAACAGACGACTTCCAAGGCATCCCTCCAAGCTGCTCCAGATGTGCTGTTGACACGCAGAAACGGCACATCGACTTGGCGCAAGATCATCGCATCTCTCCTAGCCCCAATTTCTCCAGTTAACTTTTCTCCCCACCCATTCCCTCCCCATTCAAATCCCAGCAAACACCTGTTAGACTCCAGCAGGGTTTGTCCTGTTGTAGAGCTTTTTTCTGAATGCTTTTTCCTTCTCTCACTTAAAGAAGAGATCTGAAGCAAGCAAGCAAGCTGCGACGGAGCCACAGGGAGGAGGTGCCAGAGCCCGGAGCTTCGGCTGCCTGCTGCCGAACGCCTTGGGAAGCTTCTCCTCTCCTTACAGGTGCAGCTGTCGGCGCATCCTTCCCTCCGCGGGCTAGTTCGGTTTTCGCATCGCAACACTTGTGACCAGGCTGCAAACAGGCACGTTCCCCTGGCACTCCCGTGCCGGCAGCTCGGCGCAGATGCTGCAGCAGCCGTAGTCCTCCAGCAGCGGATGCACGCACTCGCGTACGCCCCACGAGCCGTGCGTTGGGTGCAGAAATGAGGCGACGCAGCGAGCCCCTTATCACCTCCTCTTCCTTCTCCTTTCCTCCTCCTCCTCTTCTCGCCGGCTCTTTGTGCCCAGAGGTGCGGAGCTGCGGGTGCCGGCACAAGGCGGCTGCTGTTCCTGGATGTCCCCGAGGGCTGTGGGTACCTGGCGGTGGCACTGCCGCTTCCCGGGGAGGAGCAGACACCCAAACAAACGTGACCGCGGTGAGCAAATAGATGGCATCAGGTTTTCCGGAGGGGAGCGGAGACACCTGGGCCAGCGCGGAGAGGTGGCTACCCACAACCACAACCCACCCCTTCCCGCATCAAGCCACCCCTCTTCCTCACTGATTTATTGAAGGCGATTTGCTTCTCTCCCCCCCTCGCACCTCCTCCTCCCCGCTCCAGTCCTCCAGCAGACAGACACTCAGAGAGGCGATTCTCCTGCCGCTGCAGTGTTCTCCCTCGTCCCTTTGTCCCCGTCACGGTGCTACCGTGTCCCCCCCGGGGGCTGCGGCACAATGGGAGGACGTGCAGGGAGCAGGAGCAAAGCCGGGTGTCACACCTGGGCACCCACCGTGGTTACTGACCTGCAGAGCGGGCACCGGATCCCGCACGTATCCACACCCCGAGACATAGGAAGCAGGAGATCCTGGGGTCTCTTTGTGACACCCGCCTCCTTGCTTTTCAGCAAGCTTTTAACAGCTGGAGCCTAAAATAAAGGCAATTCAGGCTAGAAACAAAACGGAGATTTGCACTCCAGAGGACAAACAGCTCTTGAAAGAATTTATCCCTGAGGCAGAAGGGATTTGCAGCCCCTTGCAGGCCAAAGCAGGCTGGGATGTCCCTGCAGCAGGGGACTGAGGGCTGATCCTTGCAGGAGCTGAGTTCTGCGGGGCCAAAGTGGCACATGGCTTCAGCCATTTGAGCCCAGAGCTGCCCTGTGTGCCCTGTCACAAACCTATGGAGCAGGGGGGCTATGGAGCAGGGACCAATGCAGGTGGGCTGGTGTGACAACATGGGATTTTGGGTGTGATTTCAGACCCAGGCACACACTGCAAGACACCTGCCCCTTCCTCCTCTCCTCCATACATCTTTGGCAAAACCACATGCTCTTCCCTCCCTCCCCAGACACATACGTTGCAGGCACAGGCAGCCACAGCAGAAACCATGCCACCACATAATAAACATCGTTCTCAATGTCTCTGGAAACATTACAGTCCTTCCTTGGACTAGAAACTGCTCATGATGGGATCTGTTTCCTCCAACTGAGAACTCCTGCCCAATGAAACATGCTGCTCGGCCAGGCCTTAATAACAGGGATACCTATAATGTGGAAGTTTGAACACAATGTTGGACTGAAGGTATTGGGTACCATTACAGCTTGAGACCTTCATTGCTGATGCAGTATATTGGATGTGGCAGCCCAATA